TTTCCATTGAGTCAACTGTTTATTTTCTTCAGTGATTTCCTGGTGTTAATTCCAGCCATGAAAACCCCACTTGTTGCGTCTCCAATTCTTCAGGGTTCTTCAATGGGAGCGGAGCTTGAAAATATAGTTTTGAAGACATCCTGAAGCATGCAAGGTTCAGTATACAAGGATCTTACCCCAATGTTTGCAAGGTTTCATATCATTATATGATTTCATACCAGGGCTGCTCACACAGTGGTCAGGAGCCCCATTATCTTCAATGTTAATTCTTGCCTGAGTCCAAACAGCAGGATGAGGCCTGCAGTTAACACCTAAACTATCATATTTGCTCAAATATAAGACAGCTCTGAATATAAGATGATCCCCACCCCCAATAATTAGATTCTGTATATCAAAAATGTATAAATGTTATAATTTTCCAGGTATAGAATTTAATTATTAGAGGTTTGCATTGAATTTGTCCTCCACCCACTGCTACAGCAGGAAAATAAATCTGGGGGGGGGTCAGGTGCCCCCCTTGTCCTTTGCCCCCCCACCAGCCTCTTCTTCCTGAAGCCCCTTCCCCCCCACCCTTACTGTCAGATCCTATTCTCCCTGAGCATATGGAAGTGAGAGGCAAATTTGAAAAGACTGACCTTGAAATAAACATACCTGTAGTAATTTGCATGTAGTACCCCTTGCCTTAAGGTAAAATTAATCAATTCTGGATTAACTATTCTGAAATTACTGCAAATTTTAGCACAGGTACTCCATAAACACACTTTTAAGTAGTACTTTTGTACCTACTCATATATACAAGCTATGCATGACATTAGTCTAAAACCAAAAGGCTCATGATTTATCATATAATTCCTGGGCCTGGGCCCTAGTAGAGTCAACAGCATTTCAAGCTGTTTTGACCCCACAGCTCAGCACTGCTCAGTATTGTGTGTACTCCAGATTACGCCCCCCACCCCGACATTAGGATACATATCCTAATTAGCCCTCCACTCATGACTACAACTGGATGTTCTTGTTGCAAGTCCTGGGATGCTCCAAAAATTTATATGCAGATGAGGCACAGGGCAACTTGGTCCAGCTCTACCTCATGGAGGGCAGGCCCACAGTAACATATGCCACAGGCTAAGAGAGGGGGTGACAGAGGGATTCTGGGTGAGTTGTTTGGGGTCCAGTTCGGTGATGTTTGCCAGACATTTAAGGCTGATGAAGAAACAGGAATCACTGGAAATTAGAAAGGCACGGCTTGGTGGTGGGAGTGCAGAGAAAGATGACATTTCTTCAGTGTAGTGGCTCACCGTGACTTGGAAACAAAAGAGTCAGCACTGAGAGGGATTGCACGCACCATATACTTTATTCAGATGGGCCGCATTAACCTATACTTGTGGTAGGTGAACGTATGCCCAATATGGGCCAGATGTTTTATAATCATGCTTAGCATTGGCTGCATTTCGTCAACTTCATAGTTAGTTTCCATGACCAAACACTTGCTGCTTTTGGCAGCAATTTAATGCTAGACAATGTATTTAATGAGATTTCCTTGTATGTGGAAAGCAGAGGACTTTTCCTCCTATGCTGATTGGGGAAAAAACCCTTGTTTGTATTTGAGTAAATACGGTACTTAACAGCAACGCTCTGATTCTTCTTTGGCTCTTTCTTTCATTTTACAGTGTGATTTTCTTCCATACAGTCTACGTAATCAGGTTCTATATGAAAGAGGTATGAGTAAGTGAAATTCAAATGCTCCTCCATCAAGCTAGGGCCAGGGGTGTAATGCAGGACCTTATCATTACCATTAGTCACAGCTAGTAGTGTAACTAGGAGTAGGCTCCAGGCTCTTACCATGGGGAATGGATGCAGGAGTCCCCTTGTTGTCAGCCCCTTCCATCCTCCGCCTCTCCATGGGAGATATTGCTGTAGCTGCTGTTGGGGGAAGTGTCAGCATGACCAGCAGACAAGGGTTTAACCCTCTTGCTTGGCCCTACAGCTGTTTTTTCACCAGAATTCGGAGTTTTAAATTACCTCTCAGAACCAGAATCGTCAACACCTTCCCCCAAGCAGTGGCATGTCCTACTGGAAGTGGGGCCTGGTGAGGCTGACAAGGGGACTCCTGCCCAGAATGCAGAATCTACCAGTTATACCTCAGCTCACACTTATAGAAGGAAGTAGTATTTGCAGACCCTCATTATCTCTCGTGTGGGGGTACTGGAACCACTTGATCTGTATATGGATCTCTGGCAACTCTCTGGCCTTGTCCTATTACAGCCCTTGGCACTAAAGCTGATCTGAAACTCTTTTCAGCGTGGGAATAGTTTTTAACTGCTCTATAAAGCCTGTATCTTCAGTAGGGGGAAAAAAAATGTGTTCTTAACTTGCATGAATTAACTCAAACTAAAATCCTAGGGAAGATAAGGCAATTATCTAACTCAAGAACACACTTTTCTTTCCCAGTGAAAACAATGACCTACAACTATCCAAGAAGCCCAAGTGCAGAGGCTAACGAAATGATTTTGAGAGATTTGCTCTGGTTTTTTCTACCCTGGGTAATTTCACTCTCTTTTGCTCATGTCCTGACCCCTTCATAACTCCTATTGGCTTTTTTTGTGCCTGTTTAAAGGGTCAATGTATTGTAGCGTACAGCTCATTTATTTTCTGTGATGCGCTGTTTCTTTTTTCTCTTTCTACATTTTTTCTCTCTCCCTCTTTCACAAATATGGTTCTAGATTTAGAGACTTGTTACTTTCTGGCAAGAAGCCAGCCTCTTCACAGGGGAGGTTTGTGGCATGAAACAATTTACAATGACTTTTGAAAAGTTTTCTGCTTACCATTAAATTACTGTATAATATTTTTTTGGTTGGAAGCTCATTTTAATTTTTGTACTGTTCCTATAAGCCAATTACGCTACATGTACCTGATTCTGATTCAACTCGCATGCATTTTATGCTGGCATTATTGCATGGGCTTCTATATGGAGTTTCTCTTGACTAAACCACAGTAAGACAAACCAGAATTGGATCCCTATTCATAAGGTGCCTTCTAAAAGCCCTATTAATTCTGAAAACCATTTTGTGCAAGTCTATTAGAAATTCCTCATTAAGGTAATATTATTGACTTTTAATGGGTGCTTCAGTTAGACACTGCTACTTTAAATGGAGCATTGTATAAATACAAATGGATCCTGAGTTTTCAAAAAGACATAACGTTTTTTTCCCCCCCTTTTGTTTCTAATAATGTACTGAAAATTCTTACAGTTAGGAGCCCAATGCTGCCTCCCAAGAAATGCAATGAAAAAACTCGCACTGACTTCAACAAGAGTAAGAATAGGCTATAAATATAAATCACGTTTGTTTTCTTTTGTAAGTTACACAGAGATTTATTGTAAAATTGTTCATAAATACACAGCTATTTATTTATTCATAAATACACAAGTACACAAAATACTCTCAAGTTTAAGATACTGAAACAACATGCAAAGAAATGGAAAATAAATCAAAGTTTCATCTAAATTACCTTTACACTATCAACTGACTCCAAACAAGTCCCCTGACTTTTTTCCAATATGCTGGACTACCTGTCACTGAAGGACTTGTCTTTGGCATAGTTTTTGCAGGAACAGTTTCTAGAGTAAATTTACCAAAGTAGATGTGCCTGACTAATTCCATGCATGGATACTCTTACTCCTTTTCAATATGGTTTAAGATTAACTAGAAAAAAGGCTGTCTTATTCCAAAATAAGAGTATCCACAGAGGGCCATTCCAGATTAATTTTGTTTTAAATTCACATACAACTTTATTCCAGAGTAACTTTCGTAGGTACATAAAGATCTTCAGCAAATGAAGATGCAACTGCAGCACAGGTACATGCATCTCCGCTACTGTTAATCCTGGTAGCATGAATATTAATAGCAATAAAAATATCAGCAGGCTTTAGAATCGGCTTGCAACCTATATAAATGTCCAGGGTCTTTGGTGGGCTTTTATAGCCTGTCCTGAAATCCATGTCACCACATTTTCACTCCTCTTGTTACTGTGCTAGTTAGATTAAAGCTCGGGCAGGTATGCCTATTCAAACTTTCATCTGCCATGTAGACATACCCAACATTTGGTATATGAAATACAGCAGGACTGGCCTACATGAAAAATGGCCGATTATAACTTATTTTATTCACACTGGGGAAGATGTAGTGGACTTTAAAATGCTTGCAAAAGTAAGTGAGGCTGCTCTGAAAAGAGAGTAAACAGCTGAATGACTCTATAGGCCAAAGTTAACTATGCTGAAAATGGGCAAAACTCCAGAGATTTCACCCAGGCTGAACCTGGGCCTATAGGCAATGCCTGGCTTGCAAAGGCTGACCAGTTTCTTCAGTGTTGTTTTGGGAGATGCTAGCCTACTCATTTGCTTTCATGATATTACACAGATGGGTTTCTTCTGAAGATACTTACTTTAAAAATTAATTTGTGTACAACAGGCCCCACATTCAAAATCTGCTCAGATTCAGTTCCTGAGAGGTGCTGAGCAACAGTCACTTACCCCTGGGGGAGCCACAGTATACCTCTGACTTTTAAAAAACTTTCCACAAAAAAAATGTCTTGTTTAAAATTAAGAGAGTCAGGAATCAGCCTGTATATTATATTTCAAAATCCTTCTCAATCTTTTCAAGCAATCCATTCTTTTGCTCCAAGGCACTTTACCTGAAGGAGACTAGAAACATCTTGTTTGAATATACGGCAAAATATGTTTTTAAAAAAATCAGGCAAAATTGGCTTTCCTATCAGAAACTAGAAAATAAACTTGGGCATTTAAAAAAAGCCTATGGATGTCTCATATTTTATATTGCTTTCTGTCTATATTCTGAAAATTCTGGGTTTTCACCATTTTAAAAAAATAGGTTGTCCACCCTGAAAGATACAGGCATCACAATGAAAAACAACATTCTGTTGCCCTATTAACCCAGCCTTGCAGAAAACTCTTTCAGCAGCAGGAAAAGTAAGAATCTCTCCTCAATAAGACAAGAATAGCAAAATTTAATGTACACCAGTTAAATGCTAAAAACATTATTAAACACAGGCAATGTTCTTTTTTTTCGTCCCATTTCATATAAAAACCTGAGAAATTAAATAAAAAAACCCGTTAATGCTCATGTTAAGGACACATAGATAAAATAACAAAGTCAGGAAATGCAAAAAAGTAAAATTGCAATAGCTAGATATTGGCCACATTAACACACCCGCATCATTTGTGAATCTTATTTTTCCTGGTTAAAAGCATAGGCTTTACCTATTATATTTCTGTTCAACTCAACTTCTTAATTCCAGACTTCTACAAGCAGGCATTTTCTTACGTCACATAACCATCGATTTTTGGCATGTCAGGTGCCGGGGTGCGCATGCCATTCCATTCAAAAACCCAAATTATGGTTGAGTTTGCAAAATCAGGCCTAGTCCTGCAAACACTGATGCACATGCGAGAAGTCCCATGAGTTGAGCGAGGCCGCACATGCATTCACAGGATCTGGGCCTTCAACTTCCAAAGGGAGAGGTGCCCCATTGGGCCCTCACTGGATTTATGCAAACAGCATTTATTAATGAACGCACGCACGAAGCTTTTCAGAACTCAAATCTTTTTTTTTTTTTTTTCGGAAGCCTTGCAGCTGGTCGCGGTACCAGATTAACTGCTGGTAATCTTTGGTCAAGGCTGTTTTGGATTTTCTTTTTTGCTTTCTGTACGAAGAGCTTCCTCCGCGTTCAAAATGCCAGCTCTGTTTCCCTTTCCGCTCTGCAGCGTTCACCTTAGGAGGAATGCTAGCGCTCCCTAAACTGAACGCAGGCCCACATGGATGCACTCAGGGCTCCCCCCCTCCCTCCTAATGGGCTTGAAAGCAAATTTCTAAGGGGCAGAAAGCACCTTCTGAGCTAGGCCTAGGCGCTGCCTGCATCCTAGAGACAAGTGTATTCATCTGGCATTTCTGCCGCTCTT